TTCACTTAAAAGACATTATATATATATTTATATTTACCGCAGCTCTCTCTGTATATAATATCATATATATATGCATGCCTCGCTATATTCATGTTTTTATGATGACAATGGGATTTTTTATTTTACATATGAAAGTATGCAAAACAAATTTGTAAAATTTTGCTAACAAATAAGTATAAGTTGTTTTGTTTCTTTTTTTTTAAATTGTAGAGTATTTGAAGTTTGGTGATTCACATCAATTTATAAAATATTCTCATATCATATAGCCGAATAAAATTGTCATGGAAAGTCTTTGAAGCTGTCAATTTCATTTATCATTATCGTTACTTTTAATGACTTTATTCAATATGACGTGTTTACTGCAATATATAATTCTCAGCGTAAAGCATTTCAACAAGTTTTGAACAAAAAATAGAAAAGGAAAACAAGATCGATTACTGCATACTTATGCAGATGCTTATAAGTATACAGTTGTGGAGATTGTTGAATTTTAACTGAGATCATGAACCGATCAATATTAAACCACCATTGAAAACCTGGAAGCACTGGTCGGCCGTTTCGTCTTGGTATGAGACTACTTTGTGTTCTCACACGAGACTAAAGGTCTTTGGTTCGAATCCCGCGTGAAAGCTCGTGGATACGCACTGTTGAGGCGTCTCACACCAGGATGAAACGGTCGTCCAATGCTTCCAGGTTTCTAGCGGTGGTCTAAAGTTGATTGGTTCATGAGTTCAACTAAAATATACACATAGAGTTATCAAATAAACTATCTGGATTTGTAAATAAAAGTAATATATTTGTAATATCCCAATGAGTAGAAAATTGGATTTTCTGACGTTTCATGACTTAGTGTAAGTCACTTCTTCAGAGAATAAATAACCAAATTTGAATGGAATGTTTTATAATAAGATTAGAATCTGTACAACTTTTAATTAGCAACATGTTTAAGAATACAGGTTATTGACTAGGTCAGCTCCTACAACCTGTTCGTCACATAGTATATTTGCTAGATGAGGTATTACAGAGCTCTCATATTTTTTGTTGAGTGTATGGATTCTAATGTGTCGGAGTTTCGTTTCACTGGAAGATATATAAGAAGATAGATGTGAATGAAGTGAATGATAATATAACACTTGTCAGGAGTTTACAAGGTGTGTTTTTAAATTTTAAGGAGAAAAGGTTGGGAAAAGTTTATTATTATTGTCCTAAGGATTACGATAAGTTATAGTGTTCAATAATAAACAATATGATAGTCTGTGTCTCTGCACCGCACATATACTTTCCGAAGTAAATTATTGTACAAGGTTTTTTCACTAGAACTACGTGATACGGCCTTCCCAAGCAAATTATAATATTTTCATTGAAAATGGAAAAGTTACATTCGATAGAAAAGGACTCATTTGATTGGAATCATTAATCGATCAACGTTAGACCCCTATTGAAAAACCAGAAGCATTGGATGGCCGTTTCATCCCAGTATGGGACGTTTTATCAACGGACAACCACTATTCTTCATGAAGGACGCGAATCCAGAACTTTTGGCCCCACTTGCGAACGCCTAACCACCAGACCACCGATCTGGCATTCAACGGTGTTAATGTCTAACCTCAATCAATCTATGGCATTTGATCTACCTTTCGTAGCTTTTGTAATGGTTTGTGAAAGCTCGTGGTTTCATCACTCTGTTTTATCTCAGTCACAAGTTCTCATAGAATGTGGCTTAGGAGCAATTTAAACAAAAGTATGATCACTGAAATAACGTATTTTCGTGAATGTATTTATGCAAAACAAACAAACAATATTTCGACTGATATGGAGATTACAAATCACTAACCCAATTCTATATATTCAATTGAATATCCAATTTTAATTGCAGGATATTATCTTACCGCGATTTTCATTTAGCAGTTAAATAAATATATTAATAAGAAAAGATACACTGACCAATATTTGTTACATAATCTCTATTATGACACATCATTTAGTCTGTGCATGTTTATTTATACATATCTGTGTCTCTATGTTTAGATATCAAATTTTCATCCAATCGGGGTTTGGATAACATCAATTTAAACCACCAAGTATAAATCACGTAAACATGATAAAGAAGTAGGGATGACAGTGCGTATTACTTATTACAACGTAGAATTTGTTATAAAGATGTACAAATTTGTAAATGATGGATTTCTAAAAAAAACAGCTATTTTTATTCTAACAAATATATTGGAGAGTTATAATAATTTATTAGAAAACAATGTTTTAACACCTAATTTAAAAGAGTTTTAATGGATGTTGCTGAAATGTTGACCGTAAAGTTAAACAAACAAACAAACAAACAAACATAGAGGTGAAATGTTACACAATCAGTAACAGATAGCCTATACATATTTGTTATTTTGAGTTACATCTTAGGTATGAAACCTAATAATAATAATACTCGGTTGCCTAAACTGATTTAAATGGAATAGGGTAGAAATCTACAGTTTAATCGAAGAAAATAGGTTACTCTAACCAACTGGTAGAAATAAAGCGGAAAACTTTATTCTCAAAGATGCAACAGGTTATTGTTTCCTACAACTGTCTAAGGTCTATAAATAACTATTCAATGTTGCAAGAATAGATCAATAATTCTGACAGATTAGGAATTATCAATCATCAAGCAAAATATAATCCAGTTTTCTGTCTATTTTTCAGGATTTTATTAGCATTTATTTGCTGAAACCTGTCCTCTAGTCAATCCACACTCTAAAACTGTTATTCAATACATAATTCACATCAAATATTGGTCTGTAAGTTGTGTTACACAACAGATAGTTTAGTGACTTCTGTCAAAATAATATTGATAAAACAAGCTGATAGTTTATTTCAAGATACATTATTTCTCATCAAGTAGATGGAATTAATCGGCAGATTATAAGTATTATCGGAAAATGATTGAAAGAGAAAGCTTGAAATTATTGACGAAAATCTAAATATTTGATTTTTCAGAGTATCTTCTTTACTCAAAGAATATCGATAGTTTTTCAATGAATTTTTTTTAAAAACATCTACCATGAAAACTTTTTTTGAATTTTCACCAGTTACTTAAAGCATTAAAAAGTCAAACAAAAATTACACAGTTGAGTTATCTGAGTTTGAGTAATATCAACAAAGGGAAATCATAAGACGGGAGAGATAACAAACCTAATTTTTACAGATCTCTTAGTAAACTTAACACTGTTTAGCCAGTCGTGATCACCACAGGATTATTCATTTACAAGTATGACCCTGTGTAAAGTAGTTAGTATAAACTCTAAGAGTATGTTGAACTATAGATAAAATACACATATTTGGCGCTTCTTATATTTTGATGATTTATAAGCTTGTGTAATTGTTCTATGATCGAAATTATCTTCAAGTATTCTCAAATACATATATATTAATCGTCAAAATGGAATTTAAAACTATTCTGTTGATCAAATAATAGTATTTTTAATGGTCTATTATACTTTAAATCTCAGAAGATAAATGAATATGGGTCATAGTTACCACGGGTTAGTTATGCTGTCAATTTGTGAGCATTCATACGCACATTCGAACACACACGCACAAGCACATCTTAGTGTTGAAGTATCACAAAAAGCAGTGATACAATAAAAAAAGTCATTTGTGTTGAAATATTCATTTGATATTCAATACGAATATTAAAATATTTGGCTACTATTAATGGTACCAGTTAGTTATCACTATTCTTTTGATTTTCATTTAGTTTCAACTATATTTAGTCAATACGGGTTTCTATTGTTCAACAAATCTCTGTTCTTTCATTATTTGTGTTTATTTTATTAAAATATGTAGTTTAAAATCAATATTAAATTATTTTATCTAATTTAACAGTCAAGTCACGGTTTTTAAATCAGCTCAAACTTCAAGGTAGATCAACAAATCATTAGAGACAAATCATTGTAGACAATTAATAATAGATTGACTCTCTAGAATTAATGTGATGCATTTAACATTTCAACTACAATTGATCGGTATAAACGATTTTCACTTATAAAAGTATCTTCGAATGGTAAGTTGTGTCTTGATCAATAAAGGCAAACAGATTTTATGGATTAGAGAAAGCACTTTGTTAATATAAAGTTCGATTGTTTTAACAATATCCGGTCTTCGACGTTATCTAAACTGATGTTTGTATAGGACAATGATGATCTCTTAACAGAGGAAATTAAAAATAAGCAACATATATAATTACTTGATACTTAGACCACTGGGTCATTATCTAATGTTTCACGTTTTCAGCTTTAATATGGTGTGACAGCTCGCGCTTAGTTTTGGCTGGTAAATACCTCACAACCAGTATATATTAAACCTTGTCAGTTATGACTTAGCAAAACATGACTGAACACTATCAGGTAATCTCATATCTTAATGAACTAGGTAATTTTATTTGGATTTGCAGTTGGTCCCAGTCCATAATAAAAATGATTTTGCAATTATCATTTCCTTTGTTAAAATTGAATCTCGTCTTTCTAGAAACCAAGACAATCAAAAGGTAATGAATGTTTTACAGTACTATACGAAGTGTTTTCCATATCAAGTAAAAGTGTGGCACTGACGAACAAAAACATAAGATATTACCCTAGTTTCTTTTATAAACAATTCTTTTTCAAGTTGATTACTGATTTATCTTTATAACAAAAACAATGAGTTTAATTTAAACAGTTACATTTATCTCGTTGTTGATATTCGTGACTGAATTTTAACCAATTTTAATTGATATATATGGATTGTTTGAGGATGGTCTTGACAGAACCACGTCAATATGATGCAGGTATATCTAACTTATGAGTCTGAATTTGGAAGAAGCATACATCCCGGATTTCACTGCACAATCTCTTTCTTAATGAGTACATTGAAATAGTCAGTATATAATACACATAGGCTAACTATGCCATTGAAATTCACTCAAGAATATTAATAACAATGAATATTTAAAATGAATAAACACAGCGTACTTGTGTTGGTTTTTGTAGTTTTCCAGATTTACTTCCATGATATATGTAAACTGCACCACCGTTGTCTTCATAAGGAGCACCGACAGCAAAGTCTAATTTCATTATGATTAAGTGTAAAAAGAGGTAATAAATATTGTCTACATGATACGGGGAGCAAAAAGTTATTATTTGTCTTCAAGATTGATGGAATAATAAATAAACATTTTTTAAAAATAAGGTTATAAACCATTTTTTTATTGTTTAAGCACAATATGGAGAAATATATAACAGGGTTTTATTATATAAGCACATACACAAATATAGATACACACACATATACAAAATATGTTCATAGATAAGAAAAAGAAATTGAAAAATATAACATACTGTGAAGGACATTACTTCAAAGAAAGGAATAATTAATACAAGTGAACTCATGGTAAAAAGTTATAGATTAGTTTACTGGTGGTCTAAAGTGATATGCACTTAAAAATAAATATATGGTATTATCCTAAAGTGTATTCAGTAACTTGTATGGAAAATCTTTAAGTCATATAATACTTTGTTTCAACTGGTTTTTTTTCAGTTTTGGTTACGTCGTTATAATCTAAATGTTATAAATTAACCAATTGTTTTAAGTAAATAAGGTAGGAACAATTTTTGGTTCAATATTTATAACATGCACTGAAAGGATGGATAGTGTATGTGTGAACTGTAAACTGCTAAGGCATGCCAACTCGGTAGTACAAATAGAATCATCCACGGAATAAACCTGAGACATGTGAAACATAAAACTTATACACATACACATAGCTTTAGTAATCTTTTAAATCACTGAAGATAAAGTATTCATATGGATTAGAGAGAAAATATTGTTTGCAAAGATGAAATGATGATACGCTCTTATTAGTATCTGTAGATGTAGAATCATTTTTGTGATCGTTGCAAACAAGTTTTCGTTTTTTATTATTTAATAAGGGGAGATATGATTAATATTGAACGATCATTGAGAAGTGACCAGTAATTCAAAGATCAAGTACAGTCCTTAAATCCGATTGAGTTCTACTAATCAAGCTCTAATGTTGTCACCACTTTGAGTGAATTATAGCAATTCACATGCAGTTGAGTTTGTTCTCATTTAATTCAGTTAAACCCTTTTGTTAACTTATTTACTCATTTTTTCGTTAAATATTTATCTAAAGTGAAAAAGATTCTGACACTGAATCATTATAATTCAAGGGCGAAGACAGTTATGTGGTATCCTATTTTCGTTTACAATTTTGGTGTGTGCTACTTATATCGACATAAGTAGTATGTGATGTCAGTCAGGAACAAAATGTCTGGCCGCTAAGAGACAAGAGGATCGAACAGTAAAGAATGGAAATAGAATGAAATTTGTATGAAAATGCAAGAACAATGAAGTCTGTGTCATTATGAGACAATTGATAGACATTTTGCAAATTACGTATTTACTATATGATTGTTAGATTTTATTAAGAAGTCCTGAAATTTTGTGTCAACTTCATTCGATTGTCCCCATTGGTGTTTGTGTTCACTACACAAAAACTGATGAAAGGTGGGATTACTTAATTAAGTAGCAGCTAGAAGTAGTGCAGTATAACGACTGGGATGGGAAATGTTTGTAGGGATTTATTTAGTTTACAAATGCTAACTAGAGACTAATAATTGGTGTTATGTGATTTGACCTCAAGTGTAGTTACACACTTTTACAACTAGATTAATTATAACACCATCCACCTATTCAATGCAAGACGTATGAAGTCAGTTAATAAGAATCTCTGGTCCTGAATTTCATCAAAATTGAGTTATTCGACTGGAGCACTTTAATGACACCGGTTTAGATTCTTGGACGGAAATTAATTACGTTGAAATATTCACCGACTATTCAAACCGAAATAGGTGTTGTGGAATATAAACATGAGATTGAATAAATTGAGAGCTGAGTTTTCGTAACCAGTAAGCTATCATTTACTTAATCCTTATTACTGACCATGTAACAGAGAAGAAGATACACTAGACCATATTATGAAAGAAAATTCAATAAACGATATTGGTCTCCTTTTGTGATTTCTGTTTAAATTTAGGACCACGTTAGTCTTGAAGAATTCATATAAAGAATATAATCACTAAACAAATAAGTTGCTCTGAAGCTCCTAATACGTTAAATGATAACAGTCTGTAAAGATCATAAATATATAGTAGATTCTATTCCTAATTACTATGAAGTATTCTTAGATCGTTAAATTAAAACCAGAATTTTGTATGACACTGATACATTTTTTGATCGTTAACATTACCTTGAAAACCATCGTGATTAATATCACCAAGTTTTGTAATTGTCGCTCCAAATCCAGGAATATGTGAATTACCACAATTATGAGATGGAGGTGTAATTATTTGAAAAGTTTCAGGATAATTGTAACTAAACAACTCCACGCCACTGACTTCATCCACTGGTGTATAGAAATATGACTGTCTATTTAAAAATATAAACACTGCTCCGTGTCTTCTATGTCCACCGACAGTCGTATTGGAATATTGATAGGGTGCACCGACAATTAGATCATCCCAACTAATAAAAATGTGAGATAAAACAAGTCAGTGAACTATCCAACAAATAACAACCTAAAACTTCTTTATTATTTAGAGACAAAATTATTGGATTTTTAATGATTTATTTAGTACAGGAAGCATAGTCTACTGTTTTTTAGACTTAATTTTGTAGGGAGTATATATAATCTGCACAGTCAGTGCGTGAATTGGTTTACTTCAAATGTTTGATGGAACTTGTACTTCAGATCACTTTACTACTGTCCGAATAGATTCTGGTGGGCGGAGTTTCTGGAAATCTATATATGCGATTCGAAAACAAAACAGTTAAGGGTTTATAAATGATGAGGTAGCCACAGAGGTAAATTTTGAAGGACTGCCAGAGATGTTACGAATAATAAAAACGTAAACAAGACATGTAGTCGATCGCAAATGAAGATAGCATTGCTATACTGCAAGGTCTATAAGCTGGAACATTTACGAATTTCATACGCGTATTAATTGGAAAGAATAGTAATCGGATAAAATGATTAAGCCTAATTTGGAGGCCGAATTTTTCAAATGTGAAGTGATATTATAGACAGTAACTTGCATCACTTCACAGAATAATGTTACTGTTACTACCAGAAGACCACCGGTAGGAATAAATCTAATTGTAATTTTATTTTCAATATCCTAAATATGCCATATCATGATTGATGCCTGGTAAAGAACAAACACCTAGCACTGTTCCTCACATTGATCTATATTTCATTTAATACGTATATGTTGTGTGGTATGTGCTACTTATGTCGACATAAGTAGTATATTACGCTAGTCAGGAATAGAATGTCTGGCAGCAGAAGTTAGAAACGATCGAGGAGTAAAGAACGGGAATAGAAATCAATTGGTATGGAAATACACAAACAATGAATTCTGAGACAATTAATGAACATTTTGTTAATGAAGGATTTACTGTTAAGTTCTCAAATGTTACTAAGACATTGGTCCTAACTTATGTTCTCATTCACTCATAGAAAGCTTTCAAGAAAATAGGTTGAAGCTTTACTGAAGTTAATGTTCCCAATATTATCAATTTAGTTCTTGTTTATACTCAATAAATTGTAAGCTTAACAAAATCCCTTGAATGAATTCAATGAATAACACACATATATATAGCGAAAAACATTCAAATCCAAATGTCTTCATCAATGTCATGATTTAATATTAAACAAATTATTTGAATAAATAAAGATCCAAATCTTTTTTTTAAAAAAAAGTTTCATTGTCACTTAATTTAAACAAAAAATACTGAATTATTTAATGTAAAGTGTATTTAGAGATTGAAATTATATAAATAAATGAATGACAATTAAATCATTTGATTTAGTAAATACTAAGTCAGTAAATGTATCATTTAATTGATTCATGGTAATTCATTCAGTCTGAAGTATTGATTTTCGATAATCTGACAACAACAACAAAAAATTTAAAGTAATATTGAATGTCACATTATCCTATAAATCTTTATTGTTTTAGTTCAGGGGTTACATAAAAGTTCACATTGATCGAATCAGAATGAGCTTAAGATTTTAGAGGCCTACAGGAAGTATTGTATCGGAATATAATTTAACATTTAGTTTTGTTTTCATATTTCACTATGAACGTACTCGTAGTAAAAATATACCTAAATACACCTGTCTACTGCAATAGATTTTATGGATAATGAGTTTACTATACTTTAGTGACTACTGTTTATTAACACATTTATTTGACATAGTAGTGAGTGAGTGAATCCGATAAGTGTTGTATAAATATTATATATCCAGAAGTATATGTAATATACGTTTAAATTAAATTTATGTCATTTTGTACATCAAGTTCTGCTACACTTTCAGGAAAGTAAGAGAGATAGAATGATAGGAAAAATGTTTAATCGTTTAATAACTTGAAGTACATGTATCTAAAGTTGAAATTAGTTAATCTTTTTAGTAGAGATAAGTTATTCAATGCTCTGATGTCTAATGATAAGTGACCGTTTGATAAAAATTCATACTTTCACATTGCTTATGTTTAAAAAGATTCAACTGGCCTGATAAAAACTTAGGAATGAATGCCTCCAGTAAATATACTGTATATATCTAGTACTGCAGTTCTTATTTATAGTTCAATGAGCTTTATCGTATTTTAAACTTAAGATATTCATGCATATATATATATATATATATATATATATATATATATATATATAATCTGTTTCACATAGAATGGTATTTCGATCATTACATGAATCCAGAGTATATTAAAACAAAATTTCGAAATACAGTATGATCAACTATCATTTTGTAAATGATAGATATAATTTTCATAGGATTATATTTTATTTACGACTGTTTAGGGTATTATTTGAAAGTTCCATAGTATGCATTAGTTTTTCGTATCTCAGATAATCTACGGGGATTATAAACTAGAGACTGCAGTATTTATATTCTATTGCAATACAATTTGTAAAAGTAGTTTTTTTGTATACTGATTAATTTCCTTTGATCAGTATAGGGCTGTGGAGATTGCTTAATTTAAACTGATATCATGAATGGATAAATATTAGACCATCACAACCTTATACTGATATTTATCATGTGCTCACTAGTGGTTGGATTCAAGATGAGTTTTCTGGAGTTCTAGTGAGAAGCCGTGACCAGTGGAGTTCAACCGTGTCTGTTGTTGAGGCAGTTACTCACTGAAGACAATGGTGGACGGTCGCACAATATCATGGATTGGTTGAAGTTAGACATTAGCACTGTTGGATGTCGGTTCAGTGGTCTAGAGGGTAATTTCCTTTTATCTATTTATTTAAATTAAATTGAAATCATTCTAATTCGTGTATACTTTAAAATCTATACAAGTGGCTAAAATATAGACAAAAGTATAACGACGTAAAAAAGAACGACAACGTGATTGGATTATCATTTAGGAGAAAGGCTTTAAAATGAAGTATTCGATCGAGTCATTATTATTTTATATTATTTATAGTAAAGACATCTTACTTATCCCAAAAGTAATGTAGTACGTTTGTATTTGTAACCAGTGTTTTCAACTAAATTTATTTTACAGATTAAAAACAACTAATCTGACAAACTGAACTGCCTAGCAAATGTACAATTTAGTTGTGTTAAGTTTATATTATGTGATACAGTAACTTTACTCTTTGTTATTTCACTGAAAAACAACAAAAATAATCATCATTCAACCTTATTCCGATTATTAATTTACATATTATGTGACTTTACCGAAACGTTTCGTACTTAGCTATAGTCATTCGCTGGTCTATTTATTTAGACGTTAGGTGGTTGAAAGTGATCGGCAAGAGATTTTGGTCTTATGTATCTTGCTAGCTGGCATTTGTCAAGAACGTGTAATTGGGATCTTGATGCAACTGACACTTGGTGGGATTCGAATTCATGTCAACAAGTCTCACAGTCTTAGAAGTTATCAGTGGGCCAGTAAGGCCGTGGTTAACCTTCTATAGGACAGAGATATTTAAAAATGATTGATCTCAGAGTAGAGGAGAATGTCATATTTGTCTAGTCCTTTAAACTGGTTTGAATTCTATTGATCTAGGTGTAGTGTAACCACAAGCCTAGGTAATTCGACTTCGGGTGCATTATATTTAGATGTCAGATGGTTACAGGTAGTTACGACAGTAGGTTTTGTACTAGCCCGTTCCTCCAATCTTAAGTGAATTGATGATTCTTGTGAAATTCGAACTTATTCATTTTAAAATGTGATTTAAGAATTCATCTGTTATCTGTTGTAAATAAAGTTCACTCGATGATAATTTTAGTTTAAGGATAGTATTACCTACTCTTTCTAAATCTTTTTCCCCTTTCCTGTAGTATTCAGAATTGAGTCAGATTCACACTGAGTTATACATATTGTTAAGTGGTCATTTATAACTTTATATAGTTAGTGATCATAGTACATAGACCAAATTTTCTAAGTCACAACAAATCTAGTATTAAAAAATCTCATTTAAATAAGATGCCATTTACATAAGTGATATTATTATAAGTAATATAAATAAGAAAAGTACTTTTAAGTTTATATATATTCAGATTCAATATGTTAGATCCACATACATTATCAATATGTGCATTTTTCAAATACCATATTTTGAAAACTCTTACGTACTTTGTTTTAAACATACACTGAATTCTACATTGTTTTGTTTAATTACATTGATTGACCTCAAGTATACTTTAAACTTGTTATTTTGTATATCGCAATACGAAAAAAAGAACAAGGTATCATCATAATAGCTAGTAATTGATAGTAGATAGATTACCAAATTCAAACAAAAAAGCACTGATATATCGATGTAATTGTGTTTTTAGAATATAATGTTATGCTGGCAATATTTCAAGTTTCCAGCATATTCCAAAACACAATCGATTGATAAAGAATAAATGGAATGTAGTTAACAGAGGAATTCCAATTTAAACTCGTCACCTGAATGTACCTTCTTCCAAGCCATTACAAATTAAGTTAAAACTTGTTTTATTTGATTACAGATTATTTTTCAGGTGGTTCCGATTCAGTAAAAAGACTATGATTAAGTTAATCAAATTTTCACAGATGAGTTTTTGCTAAATATCTATTTATAAAAAGCTTTTAGATCGATTTATTAGTGACTTATAGAGAAAGCGATTTCAGGAGTGTGATACTTATCCACACCTATATAGAGAACTGACTAAAGCTGAAAGTATTTTTGGATTTCAAGCTATGTTAGGTTGTCGTTTTGTAATTAAGTGTGTAGTGTCAGTTATTATGGCAAGCCCATATACCTTATTCTAACTTTCAGACATCCTATTTAATTCATTTTACTTGAGCCATATTTTGACCTTGTCAATTATTCGCTTGTCAGTCTTGACTGTTTTCATATGAGCGTATATGTGTGTGCCCTCTTATCGCATTAATCACATGTCTGTAGCTTTATTTTGTCTGACTATAAATATTGAGTAATGCCTGGCTTGAAAGAGAGTCGGCTTCACAGCCATCTTCCATACGTGTCAAAATTGCTTTGTTATGGCTCTCGCTCGCTTGCTTGCCTTTCAGCACAACTCTTCTATGCTTGTTTAACGCATCTGTACATTTGGATATATGTGTGTGGTCTCGTAATAAACGTAATCAAAACTTCGTATTTGCCTTCTGATTAATAAACCGTTGGGACGTTATAAATAGAACGGTTATCAAGACGAGCTGTATACGAAGTTTAATGATTATATCGAATACCGACCACCACAAGTGTAATCTTGAACAATGATAGAACAACTGGCTAGTATTCTTCAATTCATGATGGTTTTCCGATTAACTCCAGTTCCTAATGAAAATTCTACTGCATAAATAATTAGTTTATTGACAAATAATAATATTTATATAATTCCTATGAAATCTACTTACCCATCTCCATTAATATCGAGAAATATAAGTGAATGACCAAATCGACTGCCAAAACTTTGTCCTTCTATTCTCATTAATGGTTTGATATTATTTCTACCATTTTGTTTATTACTTTGAAATATTAATACGATTCCAGTGCCAAATTTCGTTTTATCAGTGAAACCATTTACAGCACTACTTGGTACACCTGGACCACCATAAGCCACATACAATTCATGTGATTTTAATCCCGGTAATGGTGCATACAATCGATCGGTAGTGTCAAGAGATGAACCTTTAGATAGAAGGTGAAGTAAAGTGTTGATATTAATAAGCTGTATGCACATTTATGCTAATATTTATTTAAGATAAAAACAACAGTTACATTATACTCACTGAGAATGTAGAAATGTATCCGTAAACAAAAGTATCTATCAGAGAATAAGTTTCTAAAAGCTAGGCATATTAGAACATTATGTATATTTTGTAGATACACTTCTAGTATACAAAAATGAGTACTTTAAATTAATAAATTCATTAAAATAGAAGAAACTACTTAACATAGTTAATTCAGTGACAAATAAAAATAAATGTCATTTTATTGAAATTAGTATTCATAGTTATTAAAAAGAAATAAATGAAAACAAAAAAATATTAGAAAGCGGTTTTGTGAATATTATAGCTATTTGATAGTTGAGATCATAAACCAATTGAAGCTAGGTTAAACGTTCGCGCGCGAGTTCAACAGATCCTGGGTCCGAATCCTGCGGAGCGGGATGATGGATGCGAACTACTGAGTAGTCTAACAATAGGTCGAAACGGTCGTCCACTGCTTCCAGGTTTTTCGTGGCGGTCTAGCTTCAAATGATTCATGATCCCAACTAGTAAAAAAGAAAAAAAAGAATAAACTGAGTAAATTTAGAATATGAGTTGAATATATTGCCATTTATGAAGTTTTTTAAAAAAACAATTTATTAAGTACTAGTTAAACTCAATAATTGATCATCTGTCATCTTCTTAGAATAGAAAGATGGAAAGGTTAGTGAACCAAATAATTTCCAGTGTTTCACTTCAAATTCAATTTTCAATTATTTTTACAATAATGATATTTATTTAATTTATGTAGTTAAGATGTTTTGAAGAAATGGAAGTATTCACCTTATTATTATTAGTTAGTTCTTGTAAGAATGTGTTCCGAAAGAAAACTTACAATCATTTGCTGATGATTGACTTGGAAATTCTTTTGTTTAATAATTAATAATTCAAACTCTTGATCTTTAAAAAAAACGTATATAGTTTTAAGATATTTGTTCTATAATACAAACTGAATATTCATTTTAAACTATTCAATTGTCTATAGGAAAGGAAACAGTCAGTTACAAGTGACATTCATTTGTGTACATATTTACGTTGTCTGGGAATGGTTAGTGAAGCAGGGAGAAAGTGGTCTCAGCTAAATAGCCTAAAAGTTTGAAGCTTATTTAAAACTTGAATTTTACCGAAACAACTGTCATCAATGGGACCGGATGTTCGTCGAGCTATTACGGAAACTATTCAAGTTGAAATTATACCACTGAATACCAACTTAGTGGTTCTGATAATTCAGCATTCGTTGTAAAACCTGAAAATTCTAAGTTCGAAACCTTGAAGAGTCATGGATGTGTACTGATGGTGAGTCCCACATTAAATAGAAACAGCTAGTTAATGCTCCTTGATTCTCAATGGTGGCAGAAAGCAAATCATTCTGTGATGTATACAATCTAAAATAGACTAACCTCTTCTAAACTTCTAAAAGGAAAGCAGGACAGTTTACAGATAGTTTATTTTTAAATGTATTAAATTCCATTTTCAGTTCAATAATAATAATAAGTGATAGAAAACATAACGAAATATTAGGATGATTAGAAGTAATCGAGAAGAAGCACTGGGTTGATATTTCATGGTAGTTGATACTCATCGATGCAGCGCGAGTTTATTCTTCTGGAATCTAATGCTCATTCGTGTGACAGCAGACTGCTCATTACAAATGGAACAGTTCAAATTTTAAGCTCTAATAATAATAATAATAATAATAATAATAATAATAATAATTTGTCTTTTAACAAGATATTTATGAATAACCAATGGGTAATAAGCATTGGTTTTCAGAATTGTTCCTACTGATAAAAATATACAAAATCCTTTTTACTAACTTGTGTAGGATTATTAGCATACAAACATTAACAATCATGGATGATTACATTATACAAATGACCGATTATAAACACTTTATTAACACTTAATACTATCTCGTTTATTTACTTATTTCTTAAGTAAATTTGACATGTACTGCATATAAATAGAGAGAATGAATGCTTAATGTATCTATAGGTCATTTCAGTGTTAACTATTAATAAATGATGATTCATTGAATTAGCTAAAAGCAAAAGAAGTAAACAATATTCATAAAAATCATATAAAATAATTAGACCTATAAACATATATGTGAAATAGTCAAATCCGCAATGTAAATACCTAACACTTTTGATGATTTCAAGTATAATCTACTAGACTGATAGGTATAAGTTAAACAAATATACTAAATTTCCTATTTTATAAAAGTTGAACATTAAGCAATAAACAGATCATTTGAATATCTTAAAAAGACAAACAATTCAAAGTGCATGAACAATAAACACATACCATATATACCATATATATATATATATATATATATATATATATATATATATATATATATATATATATATATATATAACAAAATACTTTTCGATAACCTGGTTATACAATTTTACTTATAAATTTCATCATGAACTGATATATCAACTCAACAATCATTGATAACTAATAATTATTAAACAAGTAATGGTTCGTCATAGTTGAGAATTTTTTGTACAGTTGGAAATCATAAAATTTCATAGTGTGCAATTATGAAATAGAAAAAAGTGCCTATATAGTACTCTTATAAAAATAAGAATATAGTTATGAGATTATTGTAAATTACATGAAATTGTTTACTATTCGCCATTGATGATAATAATCGAAGGTTGCAAGTTTAACAATGGTATCGTTTTCTAGATTGGTTATTTATTCATTAGATATAGTGATCAATGAAAAAAAAACGTGATAGACAAGATGTATCACCTACTGGTGTTGTACTTATTATCATATAGTGTAGTGAACAGAACACGGGTGTGGACAATCGAATGTATTTTACACAAAATTACAGGACTTTTTATTAAAATCTAACAATCATAAAGTAATTTCTTAATTTGCAATATGTCCATCGATTGTCTCATAATGACTCAGACTTCATTGTTCTTGCATTTTCATACAAATTTCATTCTATTTCCATTCTTTACTGTTCGATCCTCTTGCCATTCTGCTGCCAGACATTCTGTTCCTGACTAACATCACATACTACTTATGTCGATATAAGTAGCACACATTACAATAGGACCTATTTATCATAAATAACGTAGTTAAACAGAAAGCCTGTTAACTTTCGATTCTTTCAAGAACTTCATATACAACTGCAGATTGATTAAAAATTAATTATTTTAGATAAAGTATTTTGCACAGGTTTCAAGGGGAAGTTGTTAAACAAATGACAATATACATGAAATCTGTCAACTGAATGTTTTCATTTGATGAGGCCAACTGATTGACTCGACAGTATAAAATATATATGATGTACTTCTGTAAATTTCATCAGTAAGTAGCAAATTTACTTATTTTAAGGTCTGTTTACATGGAATGAATTTATCCAGGTACATCAATAATAATTTGAGTCTTAAATATACACGACGCTTAATGTTCTTATATTTGTTATGTTTCCTAGATTTTTGACACTTCTACATCATAGATAACAATCTGTAATGAAAATTTTATTAAGATGACAAATAATTCTACGATCCAATTATGTAGAATGTACACATAACCAATAGCTTTAAAATTATTTGAAAATTATTCATGTCATAATTTTTAGCTTGTCATCAAATAGATAGACCTATTCATCAATATTGATTCTTAGTCAACTGGTCCGTTCAATTCTTTAACTTAGTGTGATATCAAAATTCACTGTGAAAATAATTTATTTACAAGAATGAAAAAGAAAATTATAAAATAATTAACTATGAATTGATATTTGGATATAAATTTATTTTTTACTTGGATATGTTCAATGTTTTAAAATAAGAATATGTTTGTTGTTTCAATCGTCTGAAACTTAGTTTAAAAAATTGCTAGTCTTTCGCAAATACATCATTTATATATATATCGCAACGTAGAAAATAGTACGTCTGTAAATCGATTCAAGTTGTTGTACCATATTAGCACGGAGAGATGAAATTCTCATGTTATTTCTTAGAATTGTGGGGCTAGTAACAGTAATATAAAATATTAGAGATTGAAAATACAATTCAAGAAAAATGGAAATTACTGAAATAAAAAAGAATTATGAGGAGTTCACAGGTTTAAAATTCGGGAAATGCAAAGAATGGATGTATCTACGTCATTGCAAACGACTTTGAGCTGTGTCACTTAGAGTCTCTAACCACTAATTACGATAACCACACTGATCCCGATCAAGTAGTCTATACCCAATAACATGACTAAGTCCAATTGTCAGCGAATTCATGGACTGATAGCATGTTTTGGTTAAACCGCCATTAGGTTTCTTATATCTCACACCTACGCCAAAAAACATACCCCGTTGGGATAGGCTGTGGTTGGTTATATGTAAAACATGTCACAACCATCTGAGTTGATGAAGATTTACTATCTCTTCAGTCGAATACACAAGCAATACTTGGAAGACATCTGTGATCGAATACCAGTACCCTACGAATATCCTGTACTGTTAATGGTCATATTTCACATTCACAAAGTAGAGGGGAGAGAACTGCTGAGAAGTAGACATATATATCAAAGGTGAGAAAGAAAGTTCAAGTTTATTTTAGTCAGTTCATATAATTGTTCAGCACACGTTCATTATTAATCCTGATCACAATAACACAGGTTCAGATGAATATAAAAATGGTGTATCTGGATCTTCTCACGTTACCATGACATTTCATGACATTAAAAGCATTTTTGCAATCATAACAGATTAAAAATCATATTGTCCCTGATATTCGAAGACCAAATTCAAACATAATACACAACCAAAGAATGTTCACCCATTCCTAAATGAGCCAAATTAATTAACAACTGCTTAGTGAACTAGCATTTTGGTTAGTTTACCTTTGGATATTTATCAAGTTGACTTTTTAGTAGTTAGTAATACACCTTCGCTTTGGTGTTACCTCATCAATAAAATTTATGTCAGTTTGCCTAAAACATATAATAATTGTAGGATTCACTTTTCTAAACACAAGTTTTTAATAGTTGAATTCACGAGTTAATATAACCCAGACAACCATTGAAAACCTGGAAGCACTGAACGGTCGTTTTGTCGTAGTAAGAGACACTTCAGTAGCGCGCACACATGATGTTGCACACGGGACTCGAAATTGAATTGCTATATTAGTAAGATAAGTATGGTATAAATATTTAACCTATGCATACATGAATGTTAGACTATAGCTTTTATGTAAATAACTATTATCAGGAATTTATTTTACAAAACAACAACTTCTATCTAAAGATCAATATAAGTTGACATTTTAGCATTATCAAAATTGCACTATATAGTCAAAGATGTTCACTACATATTTCAAGTGTGATTATCAGTGAATTGTACATGTTCACTTATGGTTTTGATAATTGAGTTGAACAACAATCTGAAATATTAACATCCTCACCACTACCACCGTTGTGTAGAGCGGTATTAAATGTTGATGTGGAATATGATCAACATTTATAGTAATAATAACAATAATAATCAGTTGATAGTTCTTAACAATTAGTTAAGTGGAAAACGTCATAGTATTACTGATCTGTTTTAATTTTTTGAATGTAATTTTCTATCATGAAATGGAATCAGACGGAGAAATATTGCATTACTTCGTGAATTAACTGAAGATGAAAGTGTAGACTACTAAATTCTCATCAAGTACTTTAAAGACACTTCCGGGTTCATGTGTTCAAAGTTCAATCCTAAGTACAGTCTTGTATGTATGTATGTGCACTGTCGATAATTAATAAACTAGAATAAAATAGATTGTATTTAGGTTACACAGCGGTTAACAGTGAGACCCATAGTGTGCTTATCGTCCTATTTGAAACTCTTTAGCTTAATGTAACTGAATCTTAGTTTTGATGTTCACACAGTCAAAAAGGCAGTGTAAACCCTTACAATAAACCTCATACCTGTTGCACAAGTTAGTTGCTATTTACAGTTAACAACTCAGACAACGTGTGGGCGATTGGAGCGAAATTCGGTGAATTTAAATTTCACTGTGAGGATCAAGAGTGAGGTGAAGGCTTATACAGCTGACGAGTTACAAAACATATGTCCTCGATTTCATCGCTTATCGTGATCCAACTTTACTAAAACTTCCAAATTAATGGCAACATCAAGGACATTTATTCAAGACTTACGCATACTCGTATAGACCAACCGATTCCAATCTTTAACATCATCAACGAAAAAACATAATTTCTTACTGACAGGAGGAGATACTTGTTTGGCGTCTCTTGGCTTTTCAGTGTTTCCTTTACGTCTGATGGGAGTTCGTCACAAAAACTATCTTTCAATCAAATGAATTTAAACAAACTCTTAAAAAAGGAGTTCTTTTAAACTAGAAAATTTTCATCCTGTAGCGAATGACTTTGGACGAAATCAGTGGAACCGTATTTTGACAGAAAATCAGATGAGATTATCAACAACATTGTTCATATTCATTAAGTATGTTGTATTCATTAATTTCAGTCATTTTTTCCGTCAACTTGGTGCGCCTGTATACTATATTAAGTTTAATTAAAAATACTGTTTCAAGAGGCTAGAGTTGTCCACAACTGTCTGCTACGAACATGTCCAGCGTGCGACCTGACATAGCGGACGAAGAATACAGTTGTAGTAAAATGTTATGTTTGAGATACAATTATTGATAAAATTAAACTGCCATATACATCCATATCTATAATTATTAATGATGGTTTTATTCAATATTATATGTCTAATACAGTATAGAATTCTACTAAATGAAAGGATAAATGACCGAAAGTTTTGGGTATAACATACATAGTGAATATTGAAAATATTTCTAGAAAGCCTCAGCCATCGACAAGCTGAGTAAAACCGAAAAAATATCAGTAATACAACTGCTGAGGTTGTGTATAATTTGTGCGTGAGCGTTTCAACTAATCACCTATCCTTAAAAATATTTGAAAATAATTTATACAGTACAATTTTACGTATCTGATTCTATTAAGTGTTACATCTAGACATTTAGTGTTCCCGATTGTCATATGGTAAATTCTATTTGCAAATAATTAAGTGTTCTTCTAATACAACATAACGAGTGGAAAGTTTAATAGACAGGACATCTCTGGACAACAGTACTTCAGTATAATAAACCATGCACTAGTTCAGAAAACGGGACTTTCCAAATAACTTTGTATTCTGTACAGAAGCCAAAAGTTGAAAAGGAACAAGTCTATTTTTACAGTAACAAGCGATAACTCAAATGTATCGCAAAATTAGCAAACTGACAGTGATGACGACCAAGCAGGTAATAGCAAATGTTACTTAGAAATTATGGATATGAAAAATCTGATTGAGGTTATCTTTTAAAAAAAGAACTAACATGTAATAAAAACAGCTACATAACCTGATCTCTCTTTCTGAATTACACTGTGTAAAATTTAATGTTGGTACTTGGGCGGCTAAAACGAAGTAGGTGGAGTGGTGCTCGGATCCGTGATGTTTTGACCAGCAGCACTGATTCAGCCACTTACTGCTCTAGAATTACGCTTACATAATCGATCAAAATGAAAGTGTACTTGGTAATACACCTCTATGAAATAAAACAAACAATTAGTTGAACCTGGTACATTTGGAAGAGAGTTGGTCACAAATGAAATTGGTGAATAAAAACACCATTTTAAAATAAAGAATGCTTTCTTCTATACTTAATATTATTTACTGTATAAAGAATGGTAGACAAATTAAGTATAGAATCTTCTTTATTTTTAATATGGAGTTTATAGTATGCCATTATTAATACTGAATATAAATTTATCAATACATATAATTCAAGTGGGTTGGAGAATGCTGGTTGGCGGCCTATGTTCCACTAGGAGTAACAGGCGTAATTAAGTAAGTAGGTATATTACAATTCACATCTTACCCAGAAGTGTATTTGAAGGAATATTTTCAACTGAGGTTATTACTCGCTCAAAGGTGTTTGTATTCACTGAAGCCCCAACGCCTGTAATTAAAAATACACGTACATTTTAGACATATCGAAAATATACACAAAACAATTTCAATTATATGTTAAAGAGATTTCTGTCCAAAAAACTTTTCATTCAAATTTATAAAGGAAACATTGACATCAGCAATACCAAAAAGTACCGAGCTTCCAGAGCAATGTTTCCATAAGTGTTTAAACTTACGAGAAAATAAACATGTGGTTATTGATCGTACTCTCACTCTCTATTTCATGATTTTTATTAGCTACATACCGTTTACAGTTTGAAAAAAACAACGAAAAATGACAAGAACAATGATATGACGATTAATAGCTTTCAAGTTTTTATTTTATACTTTAACTGAGTAGTCAGATAATAAAATTCAGTCTCCATTGGTGTATAAAGTAATTATTTATTTCACGTCATGTTGTTTAAAAGCTAGTATGGTTGTTACTGAATAAATATTGATATAGAGCACTTATCTAACATACTTTATTTTACTGTAATTTATCACTCAATACAGAAGTAACTTTACATTTAGCATATATACTATTTTTAAAGTATGACGTCAAAAACATTAAAAAAATATATACTCACGAGAGTATGGTGACGAAATTCGATCAAAATAGTTTTATTATTCTGTGTATTCAAGATATTGCTAAGATAGAACTCAAACCTAATAGCATTGAAATCAAATGCTTATGCTAAAAGGAATAAGAATCAAGAATGATAACCAGGGACAGAGAAGCACTAATCGTAAGAAAATTTTATTCTGTTCAGTGAAAAGCTTCTTATTACATGGTACAATTATGCATATATATATATATATATATATATATATATATATATATATATATATATTTATATATGTTGGTAGTAAGTGATCTTTGGCAAGAATATGTAACATGACAAATATGGAAAAAATCTGAAGGATATATAGATCTACAGGGAAATAATGTGATATTGACACAAGAAAAAAAGTAGACATTTTTTATCATTACTAATATTATTCAGTAAACAAGTGAGGAAGAGAAAGGGAAAGATATGGGAAAATAGTATTTAATACAGAAAGAACATAAACAACTAAATAATGTTGTAGAAAAAAAATAATCATCTAGACTGATTGCATCAAATTAGTTAGGTTTGTATATTTTAAGCAACAAAGAAAAGTATCATGTATACACGCCAAAAAGCACAATATTACTAAAGTAGTACTTTGACAATTTTTTGATTAAATTCAGAAACAATTGGTTCTATCATGAGTCAGTTGAAGCTAGACCACCATGGAAAACCTGGAAGCACTAAACAGCCGTTTCGTCCTATTGTGGGACTCCTGAGCAGTGCGCATCCAAAATCCCGCTCGCGAGATTCGAACCCAGGGCCTTCGGTCTCGCGCGCGAACGCTTAACCTGCTGGACCACTGAATTATTGAATTATATATACCCGAAGTATAGATTTAGATTTTTAACTTTGATGCATGATGTTACACATCTGTTCAAAATGACCGAAGTAGAGCAGTTTAGTTATCTATATTACTTCAATGTAATATATCATATCATATCGAGATTGGTTAGTCTAAATGATAACTAGCTAAAACCTATTTTTTTATGGAGGTGACCTTTGAAGAAAATAATTTCAGCTCATATTTGTAGTTTTACATTATTGTAACTATGTGTATTTAGGCGATTTTATGAAATATTTGGAATTTTTTGAGAATCTTATAATCGAGGAATCTAAAGAGATCCATCACAGTGGTTAGTGTATTTCTTTTTATCTCTCCTTGGAAGAAAGGATTAGAGACTACTTTACCGAATTCAGATATCAAATATACTTTAAGATGGAAAGCGATATCATGGGAGAGAAACTGGCTAGAAAACGTTACGGATAAATATGAATTGCAAAGAACCACTACTTGCAAACGTCTTTATACGTACGTTCTTGAATCTTCACAAGTTGAATAATGTATATTGTTTATTTTATGTTGATAATTCTTAAGAATAATCAAACATCTGGCATTGAATAAAGTGAATTCCATTACTAATTATTACTTTGCACGTTGCTTTTAATAAGTTCACAAATTTCTGTTGATGAATAATGAGAGATGGATAAAAGCTTATGGAGTAAAAAAGAGGATATGGAAAATTGAGTATGATCTTTTAATAGCAAAGATTATCCAAAGTGAATGACCATGTTTATTCACTATACTAATCAAGTAAACTGCTTTAATAAGTATTACATTCTGAATGTAGACTAGTATACAGAAGAGAAAATAATAATTCTATAACTCAACGAAACTGATTTTTTTTAATAGACGATGTTCATTACGATTTGAAGTCAACTGAGGTACCATTGAAGCCTATGAACGACTGAACACCTATCACAAGAATCCTTAACAGTGTTTATCCATAACAACTAGGTAGGACTTAATATTCGTTCTTCATTATGTGACTTTTTTATTTTCAACTTTAATTATTCATTTTTCAACTGATAAACAACTTATTGTCATATACTATTCTGATAGAATTAACTGCGAATACATAATAGCTTTAAATATTCAATATGTACATTGTTATTAGGTACTGTTCGATTGCTATTTGGGGATCAACTGCATGAGTAGATTTTGTTAAATACTAATAACCATGTGTCAATTTTGTTTTCTTACCACAAGGAACTTATTTTATTTTATTGTACCCACAGAATATCGATTGAGTAAAGGACAAACTAATAGACACAATGATATTAAATTTCATTAATCAATTCAATATTTTACTCACCTTTCTCAAAATAAAAATGTGGACCACCCATAAATAATTGTTTTGGCCTATTAGGATGTTGATTAACTGATGCACCAAATGTACAATATCTCAGATCAATTGATTTATCAGAATCTTTAACATTTAAACAAATTGCACTTGGTGCAGGATTTAATTGAGGCTCTTCTAAACGTTCATTAAATTCAAAGCAACCACCAGGTAAATAAACAGATGCTGCTGATGACCATGAAAGACGAGGTGCACAAACCTGGATTTTATTAAATTGATGAATAAACAGAAAATAAGTAATATAGACAAAAAAACATTTTAATTAAGTAAATGTTGAAATCTTTTATCAACTGACAAATATGTTTTGAAATATAACTGCGTACCCGATAAAATAATAAAGGAACATCAATTTTATCAACTCGACATATAAAATTAGATTAATTGTTTGGTTTATCAAATTAATTCAGACAATCACGTTTTAATCAATTGGTTTTCATCTCAATTTATTTACAAAAAAGAACACAGTAATAAATACAATTGGATCTGAAAGTTTCTAGATCGACAAATGATGTATTATATAACTAAGGTAGTTACCATGACAATGTAGCGCAAATTATTTTTCTGTGGTATATTTATATAGAGTTCCCAAATAGAAGTTTTCTTTCAGTAAGGTACATTTATGTAACTTGAAAAATAGTTCATTCAAAAAAGCATTATATAATATGTATACATAAACAGTAATTCATAAAATTGGTTGACACATTTGTGAAGTTTTACTTTAAAAAGTTAGTGATAATAAATACCTCCAAATATTCACTAAGAACAATGACATTTCTGAAGTAAAATGACCAGTTCTTACCAAAGATATATGGAAGTTAGAACTTTTAAAAGATTTAATTCATTACCCTATATTTTAAAATACTTATTGACCATTTTTCTATGGTTTACCTTATGATTGTAGCAGCAGTAGTAGTAGTAGTAATCGATCATGATTGTCTGAAGTTAGATATTAACACCGTTAGATCTCGGGGAACTCAGTGATCTAGAAGTTAAGCGTTTGCGTGTGAGACCGGTAGGTTCTGGGTTCAAACCCTTTGAGCGGGATCGCGAATGCTGACTGCTGAGGTATCCCGTACTAGGACGAAACGGTCGTCCAGTGCTTCCAGGTTTTCCATGGTGGTCTAGATTTATTTAACTCATGAATTCAACTATTAAATTATAATATTGACAAAATCCCTTTCTGATTAAGTAGAATAGTTGGTTTTAATTCCCTAATCAATTAATAATAATTCAACTGTGAAAAAAATAATAATATTTCTATAAAAATCAATCTTTACCAGGTTCGTATGTTTTAATATCATTTGGAAGTTTTGGGCATTAATCAGAAGAAGAAAAAGACATTTCAATATAACTAATGAAAGTATTCATCTAGTTTACTAACATTTTACCTTGTATATACAACAAAATCGTATCATTATCGAGTCTATTCTATTATAAGAAACATGTATAAACTTGTTAAATTCACTATTAATAGGCATTAATAACTAATATCATCTGTAAAATAACTTTTTTACACAAATAATAAAAGATTGAATTTGGAACCGGTTAGAAATATGATATTTGTCATTACCGGATATAAATAAAATGTTCATTTGATTTGCATTAATATTTAACCATAGTTAGTAACCTATTGATTGACAAGTCAGTTATAGTCTAATGATTTGAGTTGAAATTTTTATATATAATTAATAGTTTATATTACTTATTATATTTTCATATTGCTCACTTAAATAGGAAGTGATTCTTTATTCACTAAAATTCATTTAATCCTGTTGAGTGATCAAATTTATTAATTCGATCATCTTAGTCATTTCAATTGTCAAATGAAATAAGAAATTGTAGAAATACGATCAAGAGGAGATATTTTAATCATTAAAGCATACAGAAGAGTGTTATGTTTTCACCAAGAAATGTATTGTGGAATCATTATTTCTATTCAAGTGTTTGAGAAAAAGCAAACAGAACAAAAATGTGTGCTCAATGAAATGATCAATAAAAGATAAATAAATGATTATGTAAAAATTGAGGATGAACAGAATGGTGAAGTTTGATCCCATCACTTTTAATATACTCTTAGTATAATATTCAACACAGACTAACACCAACCACTTAACACTAAACCAGCTGTTTCATCTTAGCTCAGGACTAGTCAGTGATCCATAATTAGTTTTTTCTTTTACTATAGTTAACATAACTTTACCCTTAACAAGATAGAGCCTTGTCTACTGAAGGTTTAATTCATAGCGAAGTACACTGATTGGTCCATTTTTCAACCAATCAGTGGTAGAGGACAAATCAAAATGTTAGAGGATTCTCATGTAAATTCGAAATAAACTTCAATGTTTTTAGTGCTGTATCTTTTTATTTTGGTTATATTGAAATATATTTATATGTATATACTTCTTCAGTTCTTGTCTTGATTCGGGAAGACGTGAATGAAGCATAATGTTCGGGAAGTACTAGACGGTGGAGAAAATAACAGTTATTCAGATTGATTTGCTAATCATGTCATAACTATTTTCCTCTTTGCTGTTTGCTTACGAAAAATATTGAAACATGTGTCAGTACACAATTATAGTTGAATGATGATCTAATTTTGAAAACGTTTCATACAACGGTTGTCATTACATTTTTAATAAACTAATTAGTCTAAAGAACTGTAATATTTTGTCCAGCGAAACTAAACATAATATTAATGCCAACAATCAGAATTAACCATTAATTTTGTTTCAAATATTTGAATCTCAATAATTAATCACAATTAGTGCATTGAAATTAAATCAGGTATGAATTGAATAATGTGGAACTATAGAAACATAAAAATTATATTTATACAACTTTTAACATGCAGTGAAGCGAAACAGTTTCAAAATTAAAACTTTTTCTGAATACTGAACACTTCCATTACCTCCACCTTCAAAATCATATTCTTATTTATTGGAGTGTTCAAATAATTGTTGTGTAGTGAAAAAATCATTATGGCAGAAACTTCTATTTTCTTGTTTATTAGAAAAATGAAAGTAAATAATGCCGAAGAATTGAGCCAATCAGTTCTGAACAACATAGGAGCTTGACGCAAATGTGAGTTAACTTAGATTGCTACGTTACACAGAAACGACGACAAATCATCAAGATGAACAGGGAACTAGTTGAATGAATTGTACAAGCAATGATGAGGGAAGAACCAAATATTGAGTATATAGTTTGAGACGACAAAATAAAAATATATGTATGAGATAGAGTTTATGAAATATTAGAAGTTAATAAACTTGTATCACTTTCATTCATTGTACTGAGTGAAATGCATTTAGGTTTCTTATATTTAGCTATGTTAGCGCTAACTATTAATGAGAACCATGACATTGGGTGACACCAGTTGATTCACACTGGAAGGTATCGATTCCTTCAAAATTACAGATAGATCTTGCTGATAAGTGTCAATTAGAATGAAACCCTAGTTCAAAGTTTCCCTCTTGGTCGCATCAAATCATTGAACATTATAAAAAAAGTACCTATAGTTCTTCCCTTAGCACTATTTACAACAATTATCCACAGTTAGCTTAAAATCGATTCTCCTGGATTCCTGTGAACTCATCGATGTTATAAGCAATCATTGTATTGACATAGAATAGATGCAATGTGGCTAGCAGTGGAACCCAGGATGAGAGTTTCGTCCTACTTTAAACTTGTCAGGTAAATGTACCTGTATCCCAGAGGTGATATTCACTCTCGGACTCGGACCCAGTACAATACGCTTCAAACGCCATCGCACTATCCAAACCATTTCAAATTGAGTTAAGTCACGTTATAGTTTTAGTATTCAATGTATATCTAAATTTATTGAATAATGACCAAAAAACAAACCATTTAGGGTGAATAATTTGATACTACGACACACTTCATGCTTCAGTTGTAGGTGCTTATCGAATTAACTAAGTTGTCATATTTTACTTATTTGTTGTTTAATGAGGATAGGGGTCATATTTTCACACTACGTCATTGGGATATTTTGTATTGATTCTTACTTTATAGAACATCAGTCTTAATAGAAATAATTCTGTTGTATCACTGTTGATGAAAAATTAATGAATAACCTTTGTCTTAAATTCATGGGGATGGTTAATAGTTTCCTCAATCTGATAAGTGCTTTCGAATAAATAGTAAATGAGCAATGTTTTTCGACTTACTTCTTAAACATTTGACAATCTTCAAAGTTGTTATTTTTTAAATGCAATAAAAAGTAATTGGTAAACTAAACGAATTCAAACGGGGATACTCATTTTAAATCTACTAGTTTAATTCTATATAGAGACTGACCGATAAATTATTGTAATATACTAGAATTTATTATTACTTAGAATGCTGAGCATTTCTTCTGTATCTAATGATATGAATATGTAGCATTATATCAAACTTTATCATACATAACCCGGGAAGACTGAATAATTGTCGGAAATAATAATAATAGTAACGATAGAATCCCATTCTATTGACTTGAGAATAGATATCATTGATTAGTATTGAGAAAAATATAAACTAATTCAGGAATGAAATTTAAACTACTTATATTAAACTTTCAGTCGCATTTAATTTTAATGACATTACCTACTAATATAGCTACTTTAAACATAATAAATATTATTTCATAATCAATGAACTAATAACCAAGTAATCAAATTAATGAATTACAGTAATTTAGATCATTTATAATGACAAATACATTTATTATTAAATTAAAACAAAAAAAGAAAAGACTATTAATTGCTATCAGTACTATGAGTACGTATAATATTACTTTTTATTATAAAGATTACTCTATTCATTTACGAAAGAAAAAAAAGGATTTCAATTAATAATTCATGAATTTTATTACAATGAACTCCTCTCTATCAATTTGTAAAGAGTAGTGAGAAAATGATGTTAACTGGTGATTATGTTTTATTTTTTGATTAATGTGTTTATCAGCAATAGATGAGATCGAATAAAAATCATAAAAGTTTTAATAATTAGTTTTTCAAATTAGACACCTATAATATATTAGAAAAAAATTTATTAGTTTTATAGCTGAATTCATGAGTCAATTGAAGATAGACTAACATGGAAAACCTGGACGAACTGGATTGCCGTTTCGTCCTAGTATGGGACTCCTCAGCAGTGCGCACCCACGATCCAAACCCACGACCAATCCTTCTCGTGACT